GTCTTACTGTGAGTGAAGAGTACTATGATTTGGCCTGGCATGGTGGTACACATCTGTAATCCCAGCACTCACAAGGCTGAGACAGAGGAGGATCAAGAGTTTGAGGGTAGCCTAAACTACCTAGTGACACCCTATCTCAAAAAACAAAAAAGTGTAGTGACTCCTCATACAGTTTGCTGCTGCTGCTTTGCCCTGTGCTAGGAGGCCAGCAGCAGCCAGCCATTGTTGCCCCATTGGTGAAAATGTCAGCACCCTGAAAAGGGCAAAGAGTGTTTTAGGATGGTTGTGAAACCAGTTTGGACTCTGACTTTCTGAAAGAATCTTTGCAGCACTTTGTAGACTATACTTTTGTCTATATCATAGAAATATTTTAACAATTGACTACTTACTGAGTTAAAAATGGAAATTTAGCACACTTGAATTTTGGTGTCTAGGATTCTTACAATGTAAACAGTGCAAATTCTGTTTAAAGTTTAAAATCAAACAGCATATATTGAAAACAAAAGAATAAAAACAAAAGCATAGCATGAACATAACTGTCAAATCTACTAAATAGCATATTTAAAATTGAACATTATACCCAAGTGCACAGAGCTTAGTTTTATTTAGGAAATAATTGCTTTGTGTCTTACATAAATATTTTTATTTCTGTTTCAAAATTTCTGATTATATTACTGCTCTGTGGTAATGGAATCTTCTTTAATTTGAAATACCATTTTCTTGCATTATTTTATAAAAACCATATTTTTGCATTTTTATTCAGACTTCTCTCTGGATGAGTGATTTACAATTTACAGGCAATTTTTCTAGTAATTTTATGTAAAATGCTGCTTAAAGTTAATTTAGTTTGTTTAGTTTGTTAAATCAGTTTGTGAAGTAGAGAGCTGTCAATTGCGATCCATATATGAGCCTCTTGTCTCTTGAAACTCTAAGGTTTGTGCTTTTCAGATGAGATCAGAGTACTTCGATGCATTGGACTAAGGGGAGGGGGACACAGGCTGGGGGGCATGATTGTAGTCATTATACAGTGTCAATGTAGACATTGTACAGCCCAAAGTTTTTTTGTTTACTTGACCACAATTCTAATACACAAACTATAATCCATAAATAACTGCTGTGACTTTGTGCAAACTCAAGGTATGTTGTAAAAGTGAAAACAGGTTTATTTAATACTTGTAAATGCACATCAATTTCTATTGGCAGAGATGTCCGACTTCTACAAATATGAGGTAGAATTTAAGCTTAAAGAAAAGAAAGGAAAAGAATAGGTTCTTGAAATTTTTATAGCTCTTCCCTGACAATCCAGTGTCTAGTTTTCAGTTTGGTTGGGTAATGTGATTAATCATTCATACCTAATATCTGGTTTATAAGAAAGTGATACTTACAAAGGACAACTATGTAAAATGTCTAATGCTTGTGTATCAATGAAATTAGTGAATCCGTCTTTCTTTTTCCTCCCTAGTTCAGAAGCTAAATATTTAGAATTTAGGAATACGTTTTAGTGCAAGAATAATAAAAAATACACAGATATGTAAATAAAACTTAACACATGGGCAGGGCATAGTAGTGCGTGTTCAGAAGAGCAGAGATGGGGAGTTGACATTTGAATAGGCTGTGCAAAAAGTTAGACCCTTTCTCAAAAAACAAGCTGGGCATGGTGGCTCATGTTTGGGGTCCCTGCTACTTGGGAGTCAGAGGTAAGAGGTCTATGGTCCTACCAGATCTGGTGCCATTCCAGGCAAAAGTGTGAGACCCTATCTAAAAACAAACTAAAGTAACAAAGGGCTGGGGTCTGGGTCAAGTGGTAGATGCAGGCTTGCTTAATAAGCCTGAGGCCCTGAAAACTGTAGTACCATCAAAACAGACAAACAAAAAACTTAATAAGTTCCTCTCTATTCATCCAGAGCAGTGAAGAATCTAGGTGTTCTGATTCACACAGTATCTCATAAGAGTTACATTTCATTTACTGCTTTTTGAAGAATGAGAACATAAATGCATTTAACATTAAAGTGTAATTTCCTCTGATTCTGAAAGCTGTTTGGAATACTAGGAGTACATCTGAGTTATCATTTGTAATACTACCAGAAAAGAGTTAGTGTTATGCTTTCTAGAGTGAATAAATGGATATAAATGACATTTGAGTTTATGGGATCATTGTTTCTTCTCTATATTTAGCTGAGTAAATTTTGAAGGTTTTCTCTTAGATGAAGATTTATCAGGCTCAGGTGGTAAAGTGCCTGCCTAATAAGTGTGAGGCCCTGAATTCAAGCCCTAGTACTGCTGCCCCATCCCTCTCCCGCCCCCTAAAAATTTATCATTTTCAATTTCCTGTGTACTCCGAGTTTCCTGTAATAGCTTTGAAACAAATTATTTTAGCTTTTCTTAACAAATTTGTGACTGATTACAAAGTGAAATTTGTATTTTTTTATGAAAAAAGCTTCAAGGACATAAAGTGACAGAGCCTAGTAAAGATGGAGACTAAAGTCTAACCTTGTTCCTCTGTGAGTTGTCAGGGACTGCTAACATCAGGAGTTATTCTTTTTTGTTGTTGTTCTCTATTTTAATAACATATTTAAGCTATTGTATCCAAAATATTGTTTCAACAGGTTAAGCTCTTTTTAATGGTGGCAAAATGGTAGTTGTTTTACAAATGATGTAAATTCACTAAGCAGAGCAGACAGATACTAGAGCGAGAATAAGTAGCGTGAATAAAGGGCTCAGATATCCCCGATGCAGTTTGGTTGGTAGCTTTGTCCACTTCCCCTCACCCACCCCCACATTTATCTTCCTAATTGCTAACCTCAAAAAAGACTTCTCCATTGATTTTCTGTTGCCTAGCATCTTGCAGAAGTATTAATGAGTAATGAAATAGCCCAAGGCAGACCCCAGGGTGGGAAATAATGAACTTGATTAATCAAGATGCTATATTATCTATAATACATCTCAATGATAAGGAAGAGTTTTTTCATTAAAAATAAGACTTAATTTAATCTGACCAAAAATGTGTACATTTTAATTGACTGTAGGACCATTATCTTTTGAAAAGGACATCAAGTACCACTCTCTACTGTCCTAGAATTCAACATTTGCCAAATTTTCCGACAAACCTGAAATACAAGATGAAACAGTCTTTCTTTTTTTGGCAGCATTGGGGTTTGAACTCAGTAATTCATGCTTGTTAGACAGGCAACTCTACTACCTGAGCCACACCTCCAGCCCTAGAAGATGAGACAGTTGCCTTCCTAAAACCGGCTTCTGTCTCAGGAACAGTGCACCATTGTATTTTCAGTCCTCTTTCTTGTCTACCTTCCTCTGATAGCAGACTTCCCCAAGACTGTGTTTTTCATTTTTTCTTATACTCCCATGAGACTTAGTTCTGTTTGTTGGCTTTACTTAGATCCCTTTGTGCTGACTCCCATATCTCTGCCCATAGTACTAATGCATCACTCAGGCTCTGAGCCCATTATGTTCTCCCTCTTTTTGAGAGGTCCCAGACTCTCTAACCCTCTCTGATACTTCCTTCTTAATTACCATACTCTGACTCTGACTCCACCTGATTTCTGTAGCAGCAACTCAAGCCTAGGTCTTCACCATCTAATGATGACATCCTCTGCATCTAGCCTGCACTCCTCCTGCAGCAGGGGCTCCTGACTAGTGTTCTGCCTCTGCTGTTCTCTGCCCGTTCACTACACTGAAGCCACAGCAATGGTTTCAAACCATGAATCAGGCATGCAAAACCCTTCCTCAAAACCAAAGGAGAAACAATTGTAGTCTCCTTTCCTGGGCTTATCATGTCCTGCATGAACTGGCCACCCCCCTTGGATCTTGGAGCTGTCTTTTGCCTCTCTCTGGCTCTTATACTCTGGTATGGTTCACTATAGTAGACTGCCAGTTGGTCTTTTTGTCTGAGTACTCTTTCTGATTTAATTCTTTCTATGATCAAATTCAGAATTATTGGTCTAATATTAATGAATAGACCTAATATTTCCGTGACTCACTATACCCATACTTAGCTCTGTTATAATGTGCTTCACCAACCCATTCTTCTCATTCACTCGTGCCTTTTCCCCCCATATATGTCTATCTTAATGTCATAATACTGTGTACCTTTCTATTTCCATGCCTCTTACCCCATTCTCACCACCTAAAAGCACCTTTTATGTTCATTTCTATTAAATGAAGTACACTTTGATTTTTTCCCCTTTCTGAATCTAGCTTTAAAACCTTTATTAGTTTCTCTTTTTTATTCTTACAGTAGTTTCCCCTTACCCAAGGGAGGGTATGTACCAAGATTCCCAAATGGATGCCTGAAACTGGAGAGTACTGAAAACTATGTGTACTGTTTTTTCCCCTTTACCTTTTCACTTAAAGGAAGCACATGAGGGCTTCTCTTTGGCATATCTAAATTGTCAGTGTGGGTTCTCTGGCCATATTAAGGAAAATAAGGGTTACCTGAAGGCAAGTACTGTGTGCTACCACTACAGTTCACCTGATGGACGAGACAGCTGTGAAGCTGCTAATGGGAAGGCAGAAGACACAGCAAGGATATGCTGGACAGAGGGTTGACTTAGGAACTGGTAGGAGGGGTGAGATTTTACTTGTCATGCTTCTTAGAACAGTCCTCAATTTAAAACTTATGAACTGTTTATTTCTGGAATTTTCCCTGTAATATTTTTTGGACCACAGTTTCGGGCAACGGAAACTGTAGAAGACAAAATGGATAAGGCAGAACCACGGTACTAATAAATTGTCCCTGTTTTGTGTTAATTAAATCTTTTTCAGTGTAGTCTTATTTGCCAGTTCTAGTGTACTTGGCAATTCTCCACAAGTTTTAAGGTTCTCAAGTATGGAATAGCCTTTCATGCTTGTTTTCTGGTAAAGATATTATTTACTGTAGACCTAGACAGGTAACTTAATTACTTGATGGAAACTTACTTAACATTTTTTTCCAAGCCTTTGGTTTTGGAAATTTAAGTCTTGTGTCTGTTTTTCTCTCCTAGAAAGTCATTTTTTAAACAACATTCAACTTCATGAACCTGAAGAATTTTGATCATTCCAAGTCTTAACACCACACCACTACTCCAGCGAATTTGTGCTACAGCTGGTAACAGTGACCAGAAGCCTGAAGAATTAAAATGCCTACACCAAACCTTACCTTAACAGCTCTGGTCTGTACTGTTCCCATGTATTTTTAATATATTATTTTGTTTCATAACCACTTCTAAATATTTTTGGTTCTTTTTTTTAATTAAGGGGTTTTGTTTTTGTTTCCTGTTTACTTTGTGTACAACTACCTGCTTTTTATGACTCATTTACTCAAATGACAGTGAACAAAGCCAGCCTGAGCTGGTACGGTGCTGTTCACTTGAACAGGTGCTGTTGTGCGGAAAGGAAACTCTGACTAATTTAGATAGTGTTTTTCCTTTTTCCAGATTCTTTCCATTAAATTCTTATAGTAAATATTTTACAATTTTCAGATTGCAGTAAATAATACTGTATGAAAAAATATTAATATGGATTAAAAGCTTTTCTTATATCGAAAATTTTCTAATGTTCGAGAATTTCACTAGGGATGTTTCTTTATATTGAACCCTTTGACTTTCCAGTCCTATGACTTTTTACTTTAAGTAGAAAGTCAGGAATCTCCAGACTGGAGAATTATGAAATTCACTGACCATGCACTGTGTTGAGCAACCCTGTTGCACCACAGTGCCAGTGCTTCTCAGACACATGCTCTTCGACAGCATTCCAGAATGGAGGGAAGACAAAGCAAGCTTTCCTCCTTTCCACTAAAAAATCCAGGCAGCTTAAAATCTTAGTGCTTTCTTTCTTAACATTGTCAAATTTCAATACTTTCTATTATTTGAACACTTGAGTAGTATACTTGCTTTTTATTAAATGTCTACATGTAAAACTGACCTTCTGTTATTGAGCAGGTTTATCTCACATAATTTGATGGTTCACACCAGTTTGAGGGGCTGTGGTGGTTTTTTGTTGATTATAAGAAAGTGATACCATTTAAAACTGACACCAGAGACCTGATAGGGACTTATTAACTGTATTGAACGTTTCCCCTGCTTTTGACCCTGTGTATAGTCATGATGTTAGATTTATAGCAGTTTTAAGTTGTATTAAGTGACATTTTGCTTTCTGTAATACTGTTATAAAATAAAGTTTGTTTATTCTCTAAAGTTGTCACTTCTTTTTTTTATAAGGTTTCTAAAAAATAAACTGGAGTGCTATTTTCCATCAGAAGTCCTAGCACTTAGTATAATGTAACATTTTCGAGTTCTGTTTCAGCTCTGTTTTATAATTTGATGGCTGCCAACATCACTGATTGGAAATGATGAAAGCAATGTTGAAAGTTTGTAAATCTAGTGTTCAACATGCCAGATTCCTTCTGTCTGGTTAAATAATACAACCAGCTTGTACAAATTCTCCAAGGATATTTTTGCTTATTTTCTTTGTAGAGTTTTTGTTTTGCTTTCAGGGACTGTTTTTCTGGCCATGCCATCTGAATCTTCTCCTCTGCTTCATGTCCTACTTTACTTGGTGTCCACAGTGTCTTAATGTCCAGGAAAGCAGACTGCTCAGGGGCTGTGTCCAAGTGGAACTGAGATGGCTACTGGGGAGCTGTCATCAGGCACAGCAGATTATGAGCTTAGTTTTCTTTTTAAAACATTATTACATTATACAGAAAATGGTCAACAGGGTATATTCATTTTGAAATGCTATGTAGAATTTCTGTAGTCATTTAAAATGAGTGCCTGAATATAATTTGCATAACTCTCTTTGAGATCTGTTCCCTCTAAATTATCTCTCAACTTGTGGAAGGCCTTTCTCACTTTCTCTATAATTGTTACAAAAACAGCTCTCTGGAGAAGCCTAGCTCAGCAAGCCAAGCCTTGGAACTATTATGGAACCAAACACAATTCTGTAAATACATTTCTTCTCAGAAGGTTTGCATATACATTCACATTTAAATCCTAGACTGATCTTCCCTGGGGATTTTGGGAACCATCTACTTCCTTACCTCTAAAGGTAATAGTGATGACAAAAGGAAAATTTGTCTTTGCAGGACCAATAAATTAAGCAATGCAGTGTTCAATTAGGGCTCAGTTTTCATCAGCTGAGGCAACAAGAACAGCATCAAAAGCACCTATGGGAACTGACTACCCAAGAAGCCACTTAGAACAGTGTTGGTAATTATCACATGTGTGACCTCATCACCAAAGCCATGTTTTTCTTAAAAGGACTTCTCAGGATATCATAGTCTCACTTGGCAAACTGGGCTTCCAAAACCCCAAATGATACATAGAGCAAATAGGGAAGTAGATCAATGAGGTTTGTTTTTTTTTTTTTTAAAGTGGAATCATTTAAAGCTCCTAATCTATTTGATGGTAATTAATAACTATGAAAGTACAAGGTTTGAGCATAGGGCCTCACGCTTGCCAGGCAGGCATTTTACCACGTGAGCCTTGACCCCAGCCCTTTTTTTTAGCAGTAGTTATTTTTACTATAGGATCTCTCATTTTTCCCTGGGCTCTATCTCAGAAAGTCCTCCTATTTATAGCCTCCTGCATAAGTGGGATGACTGACACATGCCACCCCTCCCAGCTTATTTGAGAATGAGATGTCTATCTAGCTTTTCATCCAGACTGGCCTCAAACTACAGTCCTCCTGATCTTCACCTCCTGAGTAACTGGGGATATAGGTGTGCCTAGGCAAATGAAAAAAGGTTGAGCACATGTTTCCTGCTTTGTTCTGTTTATCACTCATACCAGGGTCTATGCCACTGGCTATATTGTGATGAACTCAGATTCTCTTCCAGTTAGCATACTAATTATAGAGTCAGGAAGCAAGAATCTCATGAGCATTGAAAGGTTTTTTTTTTTTTTAACAAGGATATCAGAAAACTGATTCCCAAAGTGCAGTTTGCATTATGAATTCTGAGTTATGAGTTCTCATTTCTAAGATTTAGTTTTTCTGAAGAATCCTAAGATTTCAAGGAAAGTCTGTTCTTAACTTCCCAGTTGCTAATAGAAAGTGCTGGGGGGCTGTTACCTGCCAAGATTATAACTTTTTTTAATAAAGGGATTGCAAATGCTATTTCAGAGAACAAAATGTGTGCCCTTCCATGCCCAATTTTCTGTTTTCCAACAATATAGGTTCAGGATGTGGACTGGCCATGAACTTACAGTTCACCTCTGCAAATCTTTGATAGGCCTTCTTTGGCAATACCCAATTACCAACCCAGTCAATGCGAGACATTAACAGCCTTAGGTTAGCAGTGTAAAAAGTTATTCCTTGGTAAAATTTCATTGAATAGTTAAGAGGCAATGTGACTACACTTAAAAGTACCCCTTAGAATATTTTACTGAAGGTCTCAAGTTAGAAAGACATTATCCCTATTGGGGAATTCTCTCAGATACTAGAATTTGAGAAGTAAGATTAGGAACTTTTGGGGGTGGGAATGCTTGTGGGAGCATTCGCCCCTGGGGAAAAGGCTTTGAAGCACGGGATGGAACTGAATATGTAACACATGTAACTCAGCAGCAGTGAAAACTAAATGAGATCTTTTTTTTTTCTTTTGGTGGTACTGGGGTTTGAACTCAGGGCTTCACATTTGCTAGGCAGGCGTCTTACCACTTAAGCCACTCCGCCAGTCCCTAAATGAGATCTTTAACTGGACTGTGAACGTGTAAAGAGCAAAGGTGTAGGCTGTGTGTGGTGGTGTACATATGTAATCCCAGTTGTTTGAGAAGCAGAGGTAGGCCAGTCAAGGCAAAAATGCAAAACCTATCTAAAACCTAATGGAAAGAAGGCAGGGGATGGGGGGGCATGTCTCAAGTTGTGAGGCCCTGAGTTGAAACTCCAGTACCATCAAAATAAGTAAATAAAAGAAGGTAAAGGTATGACTGCAGCTGCCATCCTCCATAGATGATTTGACAAATTTGTTAGCAGTGCCTTTACACAGATGGTAATGAAACCTGTTGGAACTTTTCTCAGTGGAAAACCAACATGTTCCTGCTACATGTAAGAGCATTGATGAATCAGTTTCATTGGAAATTTTTTTTACTCTCACTTTGTTCAACAGCAACAAAAGAAATGCCTTGCTTCAAACTACTTGGTTATGCGTATTGCAGAAAATGCATGTTTAGAGCTCATCCGTTATCACAACAACAAGTTGGTAGGCAGGCACTTATCAGAGCCCAACTCAGGCTTCGAAATTCCTGTTTCTGTAGGAAGATGGAGCAAATCCTGATGGCTGAGCCACAGATTTGCCTAGCAGCTGCCAGAGATGGGAACATGGTGTGTCCTTTCACACCTTCTGTTGAAGAAAAGCACTTTTACATAAGCTGATTCCACCAAGGGCTAAAAAGAGATCTCTCCAAGAGTTGAAAGAATAGTGTTAGTTCTTCCATATGGTATGTACACTGCTATAAATTACCTCAGTCTGAAAGCCCCAGCAAACATAATTGAGTGCTATGAAATGGAGAAATGAATGTTGTCAGTTAAACAATTAATTACATTATGCAAGAAGTGCAAATTCGGCTCACTGAATCCTTAAGAGGAATATTAGGATGGGGTTGAAGTGAAGAAACAAAGTATCTGTCATTGGTGAGGCATTTGGCTTCTGGTTATCCACACAGTCATATGACTGTCACTACCAAATTGGTGCATTTTTTACAGGTGACCAAATTTACTGTACGATAAAGTGAATCAACAGCCTGTTAAAGAGTCATGTACGAAAATTGGAATATAGCCAAGGTTTAGGAACTACTGAACATTTGTTAACTAGAAAAATGGAGAACACAGTAGTAAATATAATTTATTTTTACTATTACCTTGAGTTAAATGTTTCATTTCAATGATTTGTGTTGACTTTTTAGGGCTCCCACTGAAAGAGAAGAGTTCTGTTGAAAGGTTGACTTCTTCCCATATTTAGAAATAGCATCCTGATGTTTTGATTTTACAAGCAAAGACTTAAGTTATTCTCCCCAGGAATTTATAATAAACATTCTTTTCTCCTTTCCTTTCCCCAATACCAAATTGTCAACATTTCCAAGTAGCTCCATGTTGGGAGCTACATTGGTGTGTGATCCATACCTAATACTGAGACTTGTTCTGTGCATTTTCACCCTGATGGCTTGTAAAAGCAGTTGGGAAAAGGATAGATGCAAACTCAGGTCCAAAACTGAAGTCTGAAATGGCGTTATATAAGAGTTGCTCCTAGAAGAACGAGTGGAGGGACTCTTGCATAGATGTACAGATTGCTCGCTAAGTCTTTTGCTCTTCATTTGCTCTCTCCCAGGGTTTCTTCACCCCTAATGTCAGAATAATGTGGGCTTCCATGGAATTATGTAATGATGCCTAAGAATTTTCTTTTTTAGATATTCCTCTCAAAATAGTCACAAAAAATTTAAAAGTTATGCGCCCAGTTTATTGAGTATATCCAAGAAAATTGTTATGTTCTTGGTACTTTGAAGAACTACCATTGAAGCCTCATCTCACAGAAGTCCTCAGGGATAATTGCTGCCTCTTGTCAATGCAGTTTAGAGCAAGTGTCTTGATATCATTTCTGTTTTTACTGTGGTTCTAGTTTACCAACCTACTTTATTAGCTAAACTGTTGACCATTGCTCTGTGAACAGTAGGACTTCATTGTGCTTTAGCCATTGATCAGTCCAACAAACACATTCATTTCTTTCTCAGGTACAGGGAGGAGCCATCCTTGCGTCTGAATTGCCGATCAGGAATCTGAGATAGTTCTTCATTATCTGAAAGGAAAAATATCAATAATTTGGAGACAGCTGAATGCCACTAGCCCTTTGCAGTTTGTAAGTGTCTACTGGCAAGTGTTTCTGACTCTGGTGGTCCTAGTGAATTACAGAAGCCCAGAACTGCTGGGCAAGTCCTATTGTAGGAACTCTTCAGCCACTTGTAAAGAATGTCCCTGTTGGAGTGGGCGAATGACTACTGTCATGAAAGTTGTTACATGCTAAGTATATTTGGCAGATTAAGGATTGATTTAATTAAGTCCCCTACATTCAGTAGCCTTCATTAAGCATGTGTATAGGTCAGGAGTTGGGGATATGAAATGAGCAAAACGGGGTTTCTGCTTCTTCCTGCCCAAAATGTATTTGAGCATTTACAATCTTTAGACAAGTCCAGTTAGTGTTCTCCCTTGTTAAAGCTACTAGAATTAAAACTCACCAATAATATCCTAATTACTCTCATTTACTAAATCTCATGGCATTTTCCAGTCCCAAAGTCTTTCTCTTTAGCATTTGACATGAACCCTTCTCTGCCTGTATGTCCATCATTCTCCTCCCTTTGATTTTTATTATGTGCCATCTTTCTGTGAATTCATGCCTGCTCCTATAGCTTCAACTAGCACCTCTCTGGTAATAACCAAGTTTGATCTTTAACTCTGGGATTTCGAAGTCCCACATGTATTCTTTGAGATCATCCTGAAGTACATCAAAAACTCCTCTTGAGCTGGAAGTGTGACTCAAGTGCAAGATGAAGCCCTGAGTTCAAACCCAAGTAACCCCTGTCCAAAAAACCCCAAAGCACCCTTATCGTCACCAACACATACAACTAAGTCATTGATCCTGCTTTGCTAATCTCATGGGGGATTAAAAAAATATATGCTTTTAGGTTGATTTTTCTGTTTTTTTTTGCTTTTTAGACAGGTTCTCCCTATGTAGCCCAGGCTGACCTTGAATTTTCAATCCTACTGCCTCAGCTTCCTGAGTGCTGAGATTACAGACATAGACCACTGGTCAGTATATGCCATGTACCCTCCCTGACCTGGATCCTTGTAGGCCTCTACAAATGCTTATCTTACTCAGGAGTGGGTCCATATGCTTAGATGATGGCATCCTTAGGCTACGTAAGCTCAAGATTTAATATTAACAGTCAATAGCTGTTGAGAACTTGCTGTGTGCCAGATACACTGAAGCCCATTGTGCATCATGTCATCTAATTCTTGACATTATATGTTGGTTACCATTATTGTTCTTAATTTGTAGATGAGCAGTCTGAGGCAGACAGATAACAAAAAGAAGCAATTTTTCTAAGACTACAGAAACTGATGGATCTAGGATTTGATCCTAGGCAGTCTGACTTCAGAGTACATGCTTCCAACCACTGGGTTATGTTCCCTTTCCACATAGGTGACAGATAACAAAAAGAAGCAATTTTTCCAAGACTACAGAAACTGATGGGTCTAGGATTTGATCCTAGGCAGTCTGACTTCAGAGTACATGCTTCCAACCACTGGGTTATGTTCCCTTTCCACATAGGTTTCTTGCTATTTCAAAGATGCTCCTTTGAGAGGGCCCGTGGCATAGACTGTGAACTCAATGAAATAAGAGTAATTTTTTCTCTTTTATTCTGAATTACTAGTGGCTAATGGAATAACAGATACTTTGAATGAGCAACTAGGATACAAATAGTAGAGCTGAAAATGGGTGACCTGCATAATGAAATTGAAAGAAAAGAACTGTAAGAGTGGAGAATTAGAATAGATTCAATAAGAGGAAGCTCAGCTCCTATGAGTCTCCATTCACTGAATAAAGTGTCTGTGCTGGTACATGCAGACAGCAAAAGAAATCAAATAATTTATCCCTCTCCTAAAAGAGCTGGCAGATGGGCCATCATTTTATTTCAGTGGGTCTGTTAAGGCAGGTGGCTTTGACAACACCTGACTTTGTGAGATGTTTTCCCTGTTGGGTCATGGATGAAGAAATACAATCTCTTTGACTCAGGGGTAAATCTTCATATGGAAGAATCACCACCATTAGTAATAATAATTACTCCCACTGATAAATCGATCAAATCAGTCAAAGCTTTTGTGAAAATTCTTGCCGTGCTTAAAATTTTCCCCACAACTGGCTTTCAGGTTGGTGGTAAGTTTATTTTCCTGGGCCAGATGGACTCAAACTATTCGGCAGATCTAGCATATATCTGGTGTCTAGTACTCAGGAGTAGTCAGCTGTGAGGGCTAGCTCAGAGCCAGACAGCCAGGGTTAAAAACCTATCTGTACTGATTTTGAGGTGAATGACCTAGGGTGATTTGCTTAAGTTTTCTAAGACAATTTTAATAATGGCTAATGACACGAACACTGACCTCCTGGAATTTATAAGCCAGTAGGGCTAAAAACAGTTGTTCAGAATGGACCTTAAGAGCTGTATGTGCCACCTCATTTCATCCCCACACCAGTCTTACAGCTTTGCCTGCATTATTTCTGTTTTATAGATGAGAAAGCTGAAGCTTCAAGGATTAAGTAGAGAAGCCATTGTTGCCGAGCTGAAATTTAAACCCTGTTTGGTTTGACTGTATTGTCTGAGCTCTTTACAATTTCATTCTGCTGAGTCTTAAGTTATTCTGCTCTTTCCATACGATTATTCTTCTCCTTTTGATTGCTGACTGCTGAAAGATGCTTAGCCACCCTGTATAGTTTCAATGCACTAGCTGTCAGTTTTAGAACGCAAGCTGCTGAAGGCCAGGTCCTGATCAATTAGCTTCCCTTATTTGGTTTTGACTCCATACAAACTTTAAGACATTCAACCACCCCAACTGTTTTTAGAATGACTATTTAAGGCAACATTGGTTATTTTACAGAACAATTAAGTTCTAAGCATCATTAGAATGATGATACTTTGTAGGCTGGGTGGTACTGGAAGTAGAGGTTTTTGGAATCTCAGGACTTAGCAAGATAAGATAACCAAAACTTTGACCCAGGGAGATGTAAAATGTCCATTGCAGTGATTGATGGAAGGTTTGACTATGGAAAAATAAAGACTCAGACCTTGGCCCCAAGAGCTACTTCTCAAGACAATTGACAACAGTCTGAAGAGTGCAGGATAGTAGAGAATTTTTGTCCTTCCTTTGTGAGAAAAATTGATATTCTGTACGTATTAAATTTACATGCACCATTACCCGCTAAGGCTTGAAGAGTAGGGATTAATTCTGAGTGATTATAATACCTCCACATGCTTTCTGTCACATCTTAAAGTGGCTCTTTTGTCTGACAGTCTAGGATGTATGACACAGGCAAGCAGGTTTTCTGTTTTAGAATGCAGGACTGTAGGGTTCTGTGAACATGTCATTTAATCTGTCAATGTCCCTTTCTTTATAGGAACAAAAAAGGAATGATTATACTTGCTGTAGCCCTGGTTGGAAGATTAATGCTGCTAAATGGAGATATTTGCAGTATTTTATTTTGGGTCAAGGGATCTCATTTACCCTCCAACTGGAGAGAGAATATTACTATTTATCCTTAGGAAAATGTCTGCAGAAAGAACTGTAATTTTTAAACAGAAAGCCTGAAGACCTTCATTGCATTAAGTGACTGCTACACAGATCTTTGCCATGCCATAAGAAATGGTGCCTTCCACATCCGCACTCCTCCCATACTCATTACCTATAGTGTGGGAGCTCCGGGCATACTTCAGTGAGAGCCAGCAGAATAGGTGACAATGGAGAGGTGGCTCAGTCCGCTGTTTGGAGTGCCCATTAGCTGTTTAAAAGATCCTGCCTCATGAGAGAGCTCAGCTCTGAGGCTTGGGAAAAGACTTCAGGAGAGGTGGCAGGTTATTCTTTAGCCCTTGACTAGACATTGACTGAGGCTAAGGTCAGAAACAGATTTGCAACTCTCTAACTTCTAGATGAAGTCAGATACCTTTTGTGGTTTCCTTTTGTTTTCTCTCAGTCCAGAAAGCCCATAGTAAAAGTCTCTTCCAGTACCTAGAACAAGCCCTGGTATATGGTAATGCTGTGGTTTGGTTTGATACCAAAACTCATGTTGAAACTTAATCCCTACCTGAAGTATTAAGACATGGGACCAGGTGGGACCAGGCAGTTAGATCATGAGACATCTGCTCTCATGGTTGGATTAATGGATTAAAGACAGTGTATCTGTTATAAAAATAAAATTGGCTCTGTCTCTTGCATGTACCTCTCTTGCCAAGTGACACCTTGTGCTGCCTCTGGACTCTGCAGAGTCCCTACCAGCAAGAAGGCCATCACCAGATGAGCTTACTTGACATTGGGCTTCCTAGCCTCCAGAACTGTAAGAAGCAAATTTCTTTATAAATTACCCAGTCTGTAGTATTCAGGTGTAGGAACATAAAACTGACTAAAGAAAGTACATTCATAAATATCTGTGGAAGGAAGGAAAGGAAAGGAAGAGGAGGGAAGGGGAGGGAAAGAGAAAAAAAAACAAAGACCAAACTATTGTTGTCCAGTAGTGTGCAAGTTTGGAGCAAGCTTTCAAGTTGGTTAAAGGATTCCACTCCATGAACATTGGCCCTTATCATGTGGGGTTGACATTCTTGCTGTCCCTTGGATTAGATCCTGTGCTGCAAAAATCAAGGCTTTGGGAGGGAAGGAACAGGTTTATAGTTGTGAGATAGCCTGGGTGTCAGGATAAACTCATTAGCATATCAGAATTCAGAGTGATGGAGGGAGAAGGAAGTATGATGAAAGAATAGTTCTTTGGGGCTTTCTGTTTCCTTCATCCAAATCCTTTTGGAGCATTCCAATTTTGTTGGGTTGTAAACTTAAGGTATAATTTTTGTCTATGACTTCATCTCTAGACAACTAACATGGGTTGGAATGTGCCGAAGACAGGAACCACCATGCAATAGTCACAGTGATGTGCACACATTGGGGACTGGCTCTGTGATTGACCAGCAGTTTTCCTGTATTTCCCCTGTACCATCCCTTCTGGATGCCAGGCCCCACTCCCAACTGCAAGTTGGCTTTTCTAGGGAATCTTGAAGGAGTGTGTCTGATATACCTCAGAATTATCTAAGTATCTAAATAAAATACTGTAGGCTCATTTATGCTTTATGTTACAGATGTATTCCCAAGTTCTGCCCTCTTTTGCAGAGTCTGCATCAATTACCAGACATCCCACAGAATTATCTGATTTATAATAACTGGAGAACAACAGCCAGTAAGAGACTTTGAAATCCATAAGGCTATCTTCACTTGGTCTTTGCCTCATTTCATGCTTGATACATTTTTGAGATACTGAAAATTTATCTTGCCAAAGATACAGCCACAGATAAAACTTGGGAACTATGTGAAGTATGCAAGTCCCCTGCTGTGACAGCTATATCCATTTTCTTCTTCCCAGGGCACACAGTGTCCGTAGGAGCCTGGGATATGTGTGACTGACAGTGGTCAGCAGCAGCTGGGCATTAAACCAGTTTGGAATACTAAAGGAAAGCTGTACCTAGGATTTTGGAGATTTCTGATTTTCTCTTCCTGTTTGGAGGCTTTTTTCTGGGGCTCAGTCATCAATGACTGGGTGGCAACAGCCAGCAGACAGGACTTGGAACAGTAGAGGATAAACAGTTTAGGAAAGAATTTATCACAGGAATCCTACAGAGTGAGACAGAATATAACTTAATCACCCAACATAAGAGATGTTCATAAAAAGGAGACACAAATAAAATGAAAGGCTACAGGGTTTTTGAGTAAGTTGTGATGGATAACATGCGATCCTGTAATATATTCCATGTCCTCTAAATCTCGCTATAGTCTAAATCTTGCCCTAGACACAAACATCCCTAATTGCTCTGCTGCTGGACTTTAAGTTACATATTATGGTATTAGTCACTTAAGATTATTTGTATACATAAAGGCATTGCTTGAACTTGGCAATTTTTTGTGGAAGAGGAAGAGTTTTCAGATTTAGTGTCTTTAATAAGAGAATCATCTAAATTAAGAAATAGGCTGATTTTTGTTGATATTACTGAAATAGCTGTTAAGCTTTATGATATCTAATAGTTACTGGGTACAGAAGTAACAAGTAGTCTATCAAGTCATAGCCCAGTATCATTAATTTTGTCAGAATAAGCATTCTCAATACAGGACCCAAACACCCATTCCAAACCACTAGGAGCTTCCTGAAGTACATTCTTCTTTTCTTTTTTACTTCCTTTTCTAATACCTTATCATTGTGTTCTCGTGGAAATTTTGCACAAACATCAAATATCTTTTAGGGCTTTATATTTGCCCAAACAATGTTTGAACATTTCCTGACTAGAAGTTCAATGGCTGAGTAAGAAGTATATACACAACCATGATTGAAGTGTACACTTCCTTGATGTGTCTGAATAGACACTCGTGGGTACATAGATGCACGCGGGCACATGCACATATACATCTGTCACATAGAGAAGGCACACCACAGTGTTCTAATGTCTGTGAATCTGTTGCCTTACACAAGTAACTCCATGTCAAAATTGTTGGCCCACAGTTTGACCTTCTGTGAGAGGGGTTCCATAGCAACCCTTCACATCCTGGCACACAATCTACAGCGCTAAAAGGACCAAACTTTGCCCAATTCACCATGACCTTTAAGGGGGAGGGGCCTACAAATCAAAAATCTGTGTTTCTTGAGGCCTCCCAGAACACTGGCGGTGCATTGGTGTGTTCCAGGATGAGCTGTGGGGAAATCACATCTAACCCCTTCCTTGTGTGGCTACGTACTCACCCTCTATCAGTTTGATCCTGAAGTAGGCAATCAAGAGGAGCAGCAGCAAAGTCACAGGCAGGAAGACCCCGAAGATCAGGAAGGCACCAGGGAGCTCTCTCAAGAAGACTGACAGCACAGGGGTCATTGCCAACTGCATGGATCCGGCTGGGACCATGGGATTCCCGCCCAGGACCAGGGCTGTGCTGCTCAGAGTCTGCACCTATTTTCTTCTGGCCTTTGCTCAGCACATCTGTGCAGAACTTTTTGTGGACTTTGCTCTATCTAAATAGCTCCATGACTTCTGAGAGGATTGCTGGCAGGTTACTCTGTAACTCAGCTGCAGTGTAGAGGAATTGGAACGTAAATCTCCCTAGCTCTTCTAGAGTGGTGTTTTTATCTGGCAGGGGTGGGAATGACCCCAGGAAGTTGAGATTTCTTTCTATTCAGTTTAATGAGAAGTACTTGACTTCAAGCAACCTCATTTTTACTATAGCATACAACTTTTTCTACATTTCCTAAATTTCAGTTAAAAATTACTTAATAGTCATGCTAATTAATATCTGTGCCTAGAAAAAGTGAATTTTAGTTCACTAAATTGATAGTTGATACAACAGGTATCAAAGAAGGATAAACAAGATATTTTCATGTGTAAAAACTCTTCCTAAGTGTATTACACACTGAGTACTTTCTTGAATAATGTGTTGATTTATTCAATGATTAATTAATTCTACTAGAATCCAGTCTCTGGAGTTGATGGGTAAGTAAGATGGAGTTGAAAAGTAAGTCATGGGTCTTGCCCTCTAAGAGTGGGACAGGCATAGATAATAGCCACAAGTGGTACAGGTCAGTGGGTTGTGATGTGGCTCTTTTCTGCCTTTGGTGTGCATCCATCTTGGCTTGCTTCCACAGCTCACACTCTCAGCTCTGTTCTGCTTACACCTGCCTGGGTCCTGAATGAAAGTTGTCTGATAACTCCAAAGTCTCTGGGAAAAGTACAATAAACTGACAAATGTCAAAGTTGACCCTGACCTGTTAACTGTGTTGAGTTACCTTGGACTAATTTAGTGAAAGATTTCCAAAGATGCCAAACTACTAAACCTAAAGTGATTAAAAGAATCATTTCTCAAGCTTGTGGTATGGCTCAAGTGGGAGAGTGCCTGCCTACCAAGTGCAAGGCCTTGAGTTCAACCCCTAGTACCATCAAAACAAAACAAACAAAAACCCAAAGAACCATTTTTCTATTCAAAGGATCCCTTGGAGAGTTTTGAAATTTTTGAGGGGTATTGGCAGCCACCTTCTGAGGTTCATTGCCCTGTCACTGTCCCCACCCCCTGGGCAGCTGTTGGTGAGTGGCTGGCAGACAAGTCCATGGTAGACAGTACCTCCCAAGTTCTTCCACTGGGGACTTTGCTCATGCAAAGTCAGTCCCTGTTGTGAAGTTTCCACCTTCATTTCAAAATAGTAAGACTGGAGAGGGTCTCTGGACCTTCTGAGCAGGGAACAGCTTCCCTTTTAGAAGACAGATATGTTAATTTCAGAACAAACCATTTAGAACACTCAAGATTAAGTCTGCATTCTTTGTACTTCATTTGCTTCTCCCGATCCACAACCCCATGAGTGGTGTTGCTGCTAGGATTCGTACAAAACTTTTCTTTGAGATGGATTTCTGGTGCTCTTTCAGCTTGAACAGGATACTAATTTGTAAAATGTCAATCTTCAGAGAATGTCCATGAGCAGGCAGTTGTTAGGCAGACAGTCATGTTCTTTCTTCCTGTTTCATTCCATTCAACAAGGCTGAGTAAGGGGAAGAGGAAAACATGTGAATGACAATGCTGTTAGCTCCCAGATCAAGATATAAACAGTGTGCACAGGAAACGTGGAAGAGACTGGTTAATTCCAGTCGGGAATTGGGCTGAGTTCATTAAAAACGTAACTTCTGAGCTGAGCCTGTGGGAAGGGTAGCTGAGGAAGCCTTCTTCCAACAAATACAAGGCAACAGGCAGATAAAATTTTTGGAGGAAAAGGAAGACTTCGGAGTAGCTGAATGAGAGAGGGCTCAAGTCAGAGAGTGTCTTAAGAGTTGAAGCTGGAAAAATGGGGAGGCATCAAAGCCTGTGAACTTTGGAATGCCCTGCTATGGACTATGCTGTTTGAACAAGGTGTGTGTGGGGGGGGAGGGCAGCCAGAAGGCTTTGATTGTGGATGTATGTGATCTGACATGTTTAGGAAGCATTTAGGAATCACTTTATAGGATGGATTAAAGAGAAGACTTGAGGTTAGCCTGTCTCAACAAAGTATGAAGATAAGGGGTCTCAGCTAGGAGACAGCAGAGGGGAAAGAGAGAAGGGGACAAAGATGCTGCAGAGCTGAAAAGAACAGCTCTTGATGGATGATTAATGGAGAGGGGTAGAGATCACCAGTGACACTAACAGTCATTGAGCACTTTACCTATGTGTCAGGGTCTATATAAATAGAGATAATGTTTATCTTATTTAATGCTCACAGGAATTTTGTGAGGAAGAGCCTTGTTTTGTAGATGAAGAAACAAGGCACAGAGAGGGTAAGTGCCTTGCCTAAGACACATCTCTGCTAAATAACTAAGTTGGGATTCCAATCCACAGCCTGTTCCCTTACTCACTGTGCCATGTCTGGCTTAGGTGATAGTGATGGCCAGTGATGGCAGTGCTGCAATCAGACCTGACACCATCTGGCAGCAGGTTTGGATGGGAAAGATATGGAATTTTGTAGGCCTTAAGTTGGAAGTGGAGCAGAGCTAAGTTTTCAGTGGGAAACTGGTAGGAATATGGAGTTCAGGACAGAAGGCAAGAATTGCAGAAGGATTGGAATCATTTCCTGATTGAGGTAATTCTGACCCACATCAAATTTTGAGACAGCATAATCTTTGAGGTAGACGTCAAGGTTTTCTTTTTTCTATTTAAGTAGCTCTTTGGGGGTACAATTGACATATAATTACCTGCACATACTTAAAATGTACAATTTTGTAAGTTTTGATGTGTATATGTGTCCATAAGCCTTCATCATGATCAAATGATAAATATATCAATTGTTCCCAATGTTTCTTGTGTCCTTTTCCCATCTTTGTTTCTCATTCCTCAGTTCCCAGGCAACCACTGACTTATCATCTGTTACTATCAGTTTGTAATTTCTAGAATTTTGTATGAATGAAATAATCCAGTATGTCTCTTTTCATTGTCTAGCTTTTTTTGATCATCATAATTATTTGAAATTCATTCAATCATACATTGCCTTGTATTGCTGGATAGCATTTTATTGTATGGATAACCTATTTGTTTATCTGTTCAACAGTTGGTGGACATTTGGGCTGTTTCCATTTTAGGCTACTAAAAACAAAGCTGCTATGAACATTTCCGTACACATCTTTTTATGACCATGTGCTTTCACTTCTTTGAGGTAATTACCTAGTAGAGTGACTGAATTATCTGGTAGGTATATGTTGACTTTTTAAGAAACTATTCGACTGTTTTCCAAGGTGGTGATACCATTTTATATTCTGACCTGCAGTGTATGAAATTCCAGATCCTTCACGTACACAGTAACTGTATGGTAATTTTTAATTTTATCCATTCCAGTGATATGAAGCAGTAGCTCAATGTGGTTTTAATATGTACTTCCCTAATGATGTTGAACATCCTTTGTGTGCTTGTTTGACATTCGTGTGACTGGTTTGGTGAAAAGTCCGTTCAAATATTTTTCCCATTTTAAGAAAAAAAACCTTGTGTTCTTTTCTTATTAAATTTTAAGAGTTCTTTATTTGAGAAATAAGTCAATTATCAGATAAATGATTTACAAGAATTTTCGTCCCAGTCCATGCCATTTATTTTCAGTTACTTAATGGTGTCTTTCAAAGGATATAGTTTAAAGGTTTTTTTGTTGTTGTTGTTGTGCTGGGTGGAGGTACACTGTAGCTTTTACAAAAGTTCTTAGAATATATCAAATGTATCATACTTGAATTTACCTCTCTGTCATTCCCCTTTATCCCCCCACCGCAATCCTGGAACAGTTTCAACAGGTCTCATTTTTCCATTTGCATACATGTCTACACAGTATTTGCACTATTCTCACCCTCCCATGCCCTTTCACCACCTCCTTCCCCTCCCACTGGTACTAACCGCACCCCCCCCCCCGCCCCACCACCCCACAGGACCTGTTCTGCCCTCCTGTTCCCTGATTTTGTAAAAGAGAAAGTATTGACATTTTTGTCAAAGCATATAGTTTTAAATTTGAGGTCCAGTTTTTTATTTTATGGATTGTGCCTCTCTTGCTTAAGAACTCTTTAACCAGTCCAAGGTTGCAAAGATCTTCTCCTATGTTTACTTCTGGAAGTTTTATAGTTTTAGGTTAGCATTTTGATTCATGTTAATTTTTGTGTATGATGAGAGATATGGATTAGAGTTCTTTTCTTTTTTGCATATAGATTTTTATATGTACTATTTGTTGAAGGACTAATCTAGTTCCATTGAATTGGTTTTGTACCTTTGTCAAAAATCAGAAGTTAATTGTCTGGGCCTTTGTTTCTGGACTCCCTATTCTTCTCTATTGATCTAATTGTTAATCTTTGCACCAAAACCACTGTCTTGATTATTGTCACCTTAAATTACATCTTGAAACCAAGTACTGTTATTCCTTTAACTTTTATTTTCTTTTTTGAAGTTGTTTTAGCTAATGTAGGTTATTTTCACTTCCATATGAGTTTTAGAAACAGTTTACTGATTTCAGTAAGAAAGATTTGCTAGGATTGAACCTATTTGCTATGTTGAACCTATGGATAAATATGGGGAGAAAATTGGTATTTTGACAAGATTGAGTCTTCTGATTCTTGAGCATATGTATCTTTTCATTTATTTGAGTGTTCTTTCAACACTGTTTTATAGTTTGTAGTATATCAGTCTTGAACATGTTTGGTAAGTTTTATCACTAAGTAGCTCATATTTTTATGTACTTGTAAAGATTATCACTATTTAAATTTTAATTTCAGACTGTTCATTGCTAGTGTGAAGGTTTTCTTAATATATACAATTTTTTCATCACTGAGGACTTGTGGTAGATTCAGTATTAGAATTTATTAAAACATCCTTCTAAGCTTAAGAACTTTTATCTATAAAGGCTCTTATCCCAATACCAAACTGGTTGCTTGGGGTTACACATAGTAGACACAGAAGCTATTAAAAGATATTTAAAACTGGTAATCTGTCTATTTGATTTATCAGATTTTGAGGTGAGTTTTCACAGAGTGTGCAATTTGCTTCTGTAACAGAAGAAAATTCTTTGTATGGCTTTTTGCCATGTAGGAATCATCATGAATATCACTGAAAAAAATCTACACCGATGATAAAAAATGGTCATATTTTGTAGCCTTTTGATTTTCCACTGTTGATTTACATGATAATCTAAGACACAAGTGATTTGCAAAAGTCGGTATTTAGTAAAAAAAACTCCTGAGAAACTATTGTCTTACCGTCTGTTACACTGAACTCTTAGGTACAGCTGGCTAAAAATCTACCGCAGCTAAACACAGCCTACTGAAGCAAATGCTAAGCCCATAGGCATCTGATTTGGACTTTGCATGTGTTTAACAGAGCCATAAAGAATGACTCAATGCAATGACATGCCACAGAGCAATGAAAGTTCTGAAGTTCATTGGCAGAAGGTGCCAAAGGGCCATTGACTGAGATCTGGATGTCAAATTACATACAGCTGTAGAACCAATACAAAAACCCAAGCACAGAAAAGGCTACAAAATGAACAAATTTCAAATGGAAGTGGCTTTATTTAATTGTATGGAAAATATCTTGTTGAAATGGAGCATTGCTAACAATGACGATCCTAGGGTGAACTGTTCTGGCAGGAAGGCTCGTGTTTCCTAACTGCATCTCTGAACTTTGCTCATTAGCCTGTCAATTAAAGTGGTATCACTTGGCAGCAATCCTGCAGTGAACATAATAAGGACTCTGAAATCAGGAGTTAGGTTATAAATAATAAAATGCTT